CTGTTCTGGTTTGGAAATAAAATGTTTTATTTTTAAACAATAGATACAGCATGTGTTAGAGCATAGAACTTACACTTCTTGGATAAGAATTGACACAATTACAGTAATTTAAAATGTAACATTCATTTTGGAAGACCCTGTATTTTTAATATTAATATATCACAGTGGCGCAATCAGGATTTAATCTTGGAGGAAGCCAAGTCAAAAGGATAAAAAAATTTTTAATGCAAATTCAATAAAATTCCTACCTTAATGTGACTTAGTTCATAAGTAGTATGGAAATAGAAGACATGACACAATACAGATAAAATAATTAATTCTAATTAGAAAAATATTTTGGAAAATTTTCTAGTGTTTTTACTGTGATCGGTAATGCCGAATTTTTGCCGTTTGCATTATATTGCAATCCCAAAGTCATTTCTAACCAATCCCTAACTTTACCCACTTCTAGAAAGTATTTTGATCAGCTTTTGTGTTTACGTTAAGTTCTACTGTTGGTTTCTTTTTATAGCTTCAGTACTGTTGGCACTAAGCACTTGAAGAATTGCTGCAAATGATGATAGAAATATTTATTCCAGCACAAGAATATGATCAGTCCTTAAGATCAGTGGTCCCCAATCCCCGGCCGCAGACCGGTACCGGTCTGTTGATCAAATGATACCGGGCCACCCAAGGAACATTAAATTATTTCCATTTTATTTACTATGGTGTATTTGTCTCAGGTTTGTGCGACTTTTAATAGACAACGGAACAACGGAATAAACTGGACATAAGAAACACACTTCGAGTGTCATTGTCTTCAATTACCCCCAGATGGAACTGTCTCGTTGCAAAGAAACAAGCTCAGGGTTCTCATTGATTTAGCGTTCTAGTGAGTTAAAATGTTAAATCACATTATATTCATTTTTTGGTGTAACTATATTTTATTTTGAAGGCATGTTTAAATACAGTTAAATTAAAATTATTAAATTAAATCAATCTAAAATATGAACAATCAACGTCCCCTCTCAGTGGGCCGCGGTAAAGTTATCAAACGTTGACTGATGCGCGGCGATAAAAAGGTTGGGGACCACTGCTTAAGATGATAAAGTTATGATTATGATGAATGAATAGACATTTTTTACCTCATACTATTTTAACTAAAACAGGGACAGGATACCGTTTAGAGATACTCTGCACAATTCTTTGCTCTGCCGTCCTAGCCAATTAGATTTCTTATTCGGTATGCTATACTGAAACTGATGATTCATAAATATTTTATCACTTGATGTAAATTTTGGTTTATAAATTATTTTCGGATGTTATATTTATTAAAATCTAATTTAATTTTTTAATAAAATTTTAGCCTTCTTTTGTTTCTCTTCAATTTATTTATCATTGTCATCCNTGCTGTTATCTCCACTATAAGGCTTGTCAATTGAATTTTGACATATCATTTTCTAATATGTAATTTCAAACCTGGCTTAAGATAAAAAAAATAGATTACTTATAAGAAAATTGAGAAGACAGACAAAAACACAAGGAAATAATTAAGAAGTGATTAGGACAGCAATTCTTGAAGTTGGTCCACAGGCATGTTCTACGTGGTCCACAGACTGACCTAGTCCCTTTTCAATCTGCCACACCCACCACAATCTGCCAGAGGAAAGAACATTTTCACGCATCACATATCTCTTACATTAAGTTACTCGATTAAAAAAAATGGCACAATAACATCTCTAAATGTGATGGTTAGGACTTTACCAGAGCTGTAGACAATACCCGTAGGAGCAAAAAAATCAAAAAAACCATACCTCTACATATGACCCATTTAGAGATACAACATTCCAAAATCAGCCGCACGCAATCAAGTCATACCACACACTGCTAAGAATATCACATTTAATTATTTAGCCCACATGACTATGTCAGCTTCGAGTAGCCCAGTCAACCGTTTACACAGTACTCAATGTTATATAGTTTTAGGTGGTGAAGGAGCTCATCCCACGCAGGCACCAAGATGCAAGCGATAGCAAGCATCAAAGTGCACAACAACATGCAGGAGCAAGCCTTGTTTGAGGCAGAGCACGGAAAACACTCGGCGGCACCGGCACAAGGTAAAAACCGACCTTCGGAGACATATATCTCGCGCACACGGGTACGGTTCCCTTGACTTTTTTGCTCGTACAGGAGGTCTAACAATTCCGGTTTGGAAAACTCTCATTAGAGTTCACATCTTACCAAAAAAATAATACTTATAAGATAAATGAGTGGAAAAGGAGTAGACAATCCACAGTTCATCCACGACCGAGTTTAAATGGCCCACAGATTAAATTATTTCGAGAATCACTAAAGCAGGAGACTCGTACGTCACTAAAAAAACTATGTAGACAAGAAACTTTAAAATTTAATATATAAAAGAGGTAAGAGTTTATCACTTACTAATCTATAAATAATGGTTTAATTTTTAATAAAATCTGACTCTATACTTTTGTTATGATCTTCCAAAATGTTTATGTTGATGTCAACTCAAAATAATATATTTTAGTTCATTTTTAGATACAAATAATCATATTTTATCAATATCTTTGCATTTTAATCAATTATTCTTAAAGACCTTGTAATTAATTTTAAAAAAGCAACACAAATCACTGCATTTATCAATTAAAATCTGTATAAATTCTTATGCATTATATTTCAAAGCAATCTTAATTTCGTTATATTAAATAATAAATACATTTATCTCACCCTAAATGTCTTTCATCTCTCCATAATTCTTATCAAAATGAAAAAAATAAATTAAATAGTCTCTGCCATAAGTGAGAATTAAACTCCCAGTCGCCCTCTTACGGCACTCTTTACAGGCGTTAAAAAAATTTTTAATTGAACAATTTTTAAAAAACGATATACAATTTTTAAATATTTTTAAAATTTAAATTTTGAAATTATTTATATTAAAATGCTATTTAATTATGAAATATCATCACCATCCGTCTCTTTGTTTTGAAGGTTTCTCAATATGAGGAATCCGGGATCGAATTCGATTCGGATCTTTATTGATTTTTCGGGATTATTTCAGATCAAAATGACACCTTCTATCCGTTATCCGTGATTTTTAAAGTTGTTCTCGCTGAAGTTATTATTTAACATTATCGGCATACAATTGTATGAATTTGAAACTGAACTAGTAACTAACAATTTTGACAGATCGGTTTGGTTCGGATAATTGTGGATGATCTACCAAGGAAGAGATGCCCCCGAGAGAACTTTCTACGGAAAATTTTCCCTTATTTAGGTGTTGGACACGTGAAGAAAACCTAGCAAATTCAAGATAGTTCGTTGGCCAGGTGAAAACCCGCTACCAGTTATTAGTGTTCTGATATGAACATATTGGATATTTTATACGTTTCAAAGAGATTTGGTAGTGTAAAATAAAATTCAACATTTGTATCGGTGAATCTATCGTAAAACCGAAAAATTAAAACATTTTAAAAATTTATTACATTATGCGAGATACACAAAAATTATTCAATGTGTAAATCGCGCAAGCGCTACGGCGCTAAATGTGTCGAAGTCATCTGAGGATTTAGGACTTTATATCAAAATATAACTGTTCTTCGTAGCAACTTGATTAAATTTGTCTTAATTCTTTTGTATTGCAGCACCAAAGCGTACAATCTCAAGTGTTCAGTGGCGCCGGATAGCAATGCGTAAGGTTTCAGTCCATCGATGTGCTTCACCAACGAATTGGCTTCGTGGAGTTTTCCGGGTTTTCTTCGAGTGCTTAACACCCGAATAGGTGCCATTTTCTCATAGAAGTCCTCCCGAGAGGAACTCTTCCTTGGTAGATCTTTCAATCCAAAAGTGGTACGTATTTCTGTTGAGATAAAAGTAATGCAAGCTAACAAATTGCAAAAACACAATAAAACATGACTTCCCATGAAAAATTTCGTACTTGATGGCAAAACCTTTTGATTAAATCACTGCCTCGCATCTTTAATTTTTTTTTTTTAACTGGTTAACAAGATTTATTTTCCATGCTACTTCAATGGCATTCATTAACAACGATTTTCCACGAATTTTCTATTGAATTTAAGTCCAGCGATTATGCCTACCAAAGCAATACTCGAATCTTTTTGGCAAGTCACTTACAACATTAGGTTTTTGCTTTGGATCGTTATCTTACAGGTAAACCCATGCATGGATTTTTTGACGAGTAACACGAGGTAACAACATTTTTCAGAATATCAAAGTGCACAAAAAATCCGTAATACCATTTACACGGTGCACTGGACCCACTTGATTAATCGAGAAACATTCCAGACCATAATTGATTCATCCATGCTTCACAATGGATACAGTGTAACATGGAATATATTTTGTATTTTGGCGAATTTATTGTATGTAGTCTGAAGGCATCAAATATAGTCTTTACTAAGCTTATTGAACCTATTGCCTCGTCCTTAAAATAAGCAATATTAAAATATGATACAGTGCAGTTAAACTCGTGCGAAAAAAAAAATACCGATAACCCGTAGTGTGTTGATAACGCGTGTGAAAAAATGTCGATAATTCATAGAATGCCGATAAATAGTATATAAAAAAACTGCTAATAACTCATACAAAAATGCTGATAATTCACAGACTTTAGGCTTTCCATATCTGGTCTCAATTTTCATCTATCTAACACCGTTATCAAGATTAAAGAAGGATGGACGGGCGGTCGGATGAAGCTAGTAAGAATCTACAGGTCTTCAATTTTCAAATTGCAAACCTATAAAAGTAGTAGTAGTTTAAATCGAACTGATGCTAGAAGGAGACTCGAGCTGCACGTGACGAATTGCAAACCTACATTCACCCATTCCACTAAATTCTTAGATATTCTATATACATGTGTATAAACTAAGTTTTCTTATCATATCAAATCTTCTTCCTGTATTTATTTTAGTTTTTTTTAAATTTATTTATATAAAAGGTAGAGAAAGCTCGGGCCCGTGATTACCCTATCCGAAAGAAATTAAATGCATCATTGTACGGTACGCTTCGACCCCTTCCTCCCCACCGTGTACGATGGAGAGAAAGGAGTAGAGGCGTACAATGATGTACTGTACTTTTTGCAACCTCCTTCCTCTCTTAAACCGTACACGCACTTAATGGTGGTACCCAACCTCACAGACGTTTCTAATTTCATTGAGGATCAAGTATGGATGCAATTGGATCTGTTACGCTGGTACTTCACGTTGGTGCAGAATAAAATATAAATAATAAAATAAGAAATTTATATTTAAACTTATATACATGTGAATGAACTTGAAAGTTGCCATATTGGAACAATTATTAACGAAAATCTTGCTTGTTTATAATAAATGATACAGCTGTATTGGATAGATTTCATTTCCAAGAAGTGAAGCGTTGTGAAATATTCTTTGGTTGTGATGAAATATGAATTATTTTAAAAACATGAAAGTATGCTTACTAGAAATGTACAAAATTAAATTTTGTATTCCATCCTATTTAAATTCTAACAGGGATTTTAACATACGAAACGTCCAGGGTCGAATCTACACAAGCCATTGCTTAGGGCCTCACAATTATTTGATGGAGGAGGAAGAGCCTCTTACGTGTTGTAGGTTAAAGCCACAACAGATTTAATCCAATTTTATATTTTGGCATATATCCTAGTCAATTAATTTCTATGGCATTTCTAAAGATTTATTACAGGAATGGGCTTAATTACGAAAATATATTATAAAATTACGCATAAAATTTTTAAAAATCAACAAAATTAAAGCAATTACAGGGTAAGTTGCGAGGATGAAGATGGGTTTACGTGTCTGTAATTAAATTAATATAACCTTGGACTTATTATTAACTAATGTAGTGACCAGTCAACATTGTAAATGCCATCAGCACAAAATTGTTATGTTTTCACGTTACCATTACTTAATATCTATTAAATATTATTAAATGGATCACGTAAAAAAGTGGCCCAAAAGTCACTTGACTTAATTTAAAATAATAAGTCTGCTCTTATTCAGATACTTCATTATTTACAAACTTATACCTGGAACACACGTGTTAAAACGTGGTTAACGAATTTTCGGGCCATCCTACGCGTCATCTTAATAATAAAATGCAAATTTTAGATTATTAAATGTGTAATGAGGGTGATTTTTAAGGAATTGTAATAAATATTTGACCTTTATACACCAATCTTTACCTGCTTGTACTGTACCAATGTACTGTAATATAATACCAGGTATGTAAATCAAAGTTTAAGTGTGTATGTTATATTCTAATATCGAATTACATGAATTTTAAGATATTTTACTTAAACGATATCCTCTAAGTTTTATTTTATTTGTTAATTTTAAACATTTCTCGAGTTTTTAACCTAATTTATACGTAATTGCCCTCGTTTTGCGCGTATTATACACGGTTGCTGAACCACGTGGTTTTGTAAACGAAGACCACGTGGATAGCGGCGCGATTATACATAAATGACACATAAAAATAAACATTAGTACTGATACACTAAGCTTTAAATGTATAAAACACAAAAATTTCCGCGTTATAGAGGAGGTAATTACAAATAAAAAGGTCTGTGGCAATACTAAAAGGTGCAGTAAACTGTAGAAAATACGTCTTTCTTGTACTCACAATGTAGGAAGTGTGTCCAAAGTACTCCAGTTTGATAATTCCTTCGGGGTCGAAAGGAGATTTTCGATTACGTGAGTCGAGGCACGCACGCAATTTGATAGTTATCAAAACCGGATATCTTATATATAGATATTACCGCTGACGTCACACCTATGATGCTTACTTAGTTTTCTACAGATATCGCCTCATTGGTCCTAATGTCACTTTATTATAACGTAATTTATGCAATAATTTTGAATGAATTTTCGATTTAGAAGGCTTCTGAATCTATATTTTACAATCCAGTGACACCACTTTGTTAAACAACCAGCAGCCTGTGTTGGTTGGTACAGAATACATAAAGTGGCATTAAAAATTCAGAAAAAAAAAAATAAATTTATTTAAATAAATTATAAAACTTTTTAAAATTATACAAATTATTCAAGTGGAGAAGAAGAAGAAAAAAATAAAATAAAATAAAAAATATAGTATGTAATTAATGTAATTATAGGTTAATGATATGCTGCCATCTTTTGATTAATAATGTAAGTAATAATAAATAATAATAGTAATAATACAATTTTTAAGGAAAAATATAGTTTATATTTTATTTAATTTTTTAGTTTGTTTTAATTATGTTTTAAAGATATTTTTCAAATAATACATTATAATTGCCAAATACATTACTTATATTAGGAATTTCAACATGATATGTGGCTTAATGATTATGGATCTTGAGAAGCTTTGTGAAACTTATGTATAAAAGAATAAAATATTCTAAGATTTTATTATTTATATAAAAAGATAAGGTGACAACGAGCATTTAACATTACTTTTCAATAACTTAATCCCTAATTATGAAATGTTGTGAAAGATGCAATGCATGGATGCCTCTAGCAAATGAAGAGAATGATTAAGAGGCTTAAAATCATCTTGACATTTCAATTCCAGGGACTATATTCTGTCGAAGGAAAATGCCTGTCGGGAGGACTTTCTAAGGGAAATTGGTTCCTATTTAGACGTTACAAATGTGAAAAGAATCCGGAAAACTCCACTTGGCCGGCCCGTTGGCCAGGCGCGAACCAACAACCAATTACCAACGTTCAGTGATTATTTTTTTTTTACTGTTTCCGCCCTGTGGGCACTAACAGGGCCTCTTATAGCAGGCCCATTATGGGTTCGGCCTGGCCCACAATGGGGGTGAGGGACGGGGCCCGACATATCCGAACGGATCACCCCCCGAAAAATTCCTGGGAATTACTTGACCCGTCCGGATTCGATCCCGGATCCTCCAGAGCGGTAGGCCGCCACCTTGACAGCATGGTCATCCGCCCGTCGAATGAATCCAGATACTGTATTGGAAAACTAAGAAGAGGAAGGAAGATAGCGCTGGAAAGTTTCCGGTGAAAACAATTAATTTTAGTTTTATAAATACTGTACGTATTGTACATTAAATAAAAGCAATACTATAGCAATTATACATTGTTGAGTTGAACATTGCTTGGTTTAACAACTCGAAGTATTTCTGCTAATTATGTCGCCTTTACAATCCTCTAGAGGACTCTGTTCCGACTACCGGAATATCTTATCTTATTTTGCCGAAAATATGTTAATAAATAAATTGTAAAATTAAAAAAAATAATAATATTTTAATTTTTATTATTTCATATCAAAACAAATAACAGAAACTTTTATAAATAATTTAAATGATTTTAAAAGAATTATATGAGAACTGGTGACGAGAATAAGATCGGAAGTTTAATCTCGCACCGT